TCTGACGGAGCAGCTATGATTCAGAGGTTGGTTCTCTAACCATAACTTTTTTTGTACTGGCATTCATTTTTTAGTTAGTAAGATCACATAACATTTACGGTTCTCTATCATTTTTTAGTTAGTAGCAGCTATTCACTATATACACATATAGTCAGATAACAGGAGTTGTGTATGTAGCTGACGAATTACATAACCGCAGTTAGACAAAATCTTACTGTAGTCAGATGTTGGTTAGTCCTATTAGTTGTGATTAGCTGTTAACTGAGTGACTAGTAGCAATTATCAAGTAAATTAAATTGGATTACCTTCATATGTATAAATACTGTAAATACAATTAATGAAAAGCACTCTCTCATTTTTTCTTCATTGAACTCTCTCTGCTTTTCCTCTCCGGACCTTTCCTCCCTATCTTCAAAATGCGTTTCTATTCATCACAGTTTCTTGTGATTTCATGTTGATTTGTTTCAATAGTGGAGGTTAGTTTTATATAGAATATCTCAATCCAAGTGAAAATTTTTCTTGAAGTCTGTTTCATTGATAAATGCACGGTTGAACGCTAAATGTGTCTGCCATTTTTTTCTGCAGAGCATCCGGTGAAAACATTCAATCTGGGAAAGAAAGATGGACATCTCAAAATTTAGAAATGTACGTATATATATTATAGCCCTGTGGCTATCTTCTGTAACCATTATTTGCTGCTTATGTGGAGTGAATTGAGCATATTCTGAAGTGGAAGAAAATCGTATTTGTCAAATGATGCAAGTTTTATTTAGCCAGCTAGACCCATAATAGTTGTAATTAAAATTTTATTGTTACGATTAGAGCCCCTAATCCCGTAATTAACATAATTTACTTGTATTCTTATTTTTTCAGTTAGTAGTTCATTTAGATCCTACACAATTAATATTTATATCATGATATAAATATGGATATGGTTTGAAGACTAAATACTGTATACGGATTTAGTATAAAAAAAACCATGTCTGGTAGAAAAGCTTCGTAAGTTTTACATAATGCCATAGTACATAATAGAATAAATGCTGTATAATTTTTTTGTAGTCATGCAAGGATCTGGTATATGGTGTTTGTAATTTTAAATACTTGTATATGTGTATATGGTATGGTGTTTGTAATTTTAAATACTTGTATATGTGTATATGGTATAAACACCATATGATGTCTATAAGAAGATATAGGGATTAGGATTAGCAATTTATCTTGATATATTAGTGACAGAAATTCTAAAATATAATTTTTAAGTTAGTTCTTACAGTTTCCTTTCACTTAGATAGATGGCTTAGTTGACAAGAATTAACAGCAGTATCTGGATTATTGGACAAGCATGGCCACATGAAGTACCAAATATGTTAAGAATTAATTTGCAAATTCGAATATAATTAATTAGTTCGTTAGTAGTTGAACTTCATAAATTAGAGTGTCTATATATCATTTGGTTTGGTTGTAACTATAAGTCATAAATTAAATTTATTATGTCTGTTGGTGGTTACAATTAATTCTACTAATTGTAATAGTGCCTATAAATAACTATGTACTTGAAGCTTTTTTATAAGAACCACAATAGAAAATCTTGAGTTTTCTCATCAGTATCTCTAGTCTCTTGTTTCCATCTCTAATAAAGTAGTATTAGATTTTGGTTTCTTGATTAAATTCTAGAGATGAAGAATGTGAGCATTTAAAAGAGATTGGTAGGAAAATCTCACGCAAGTTTGATGGCTTGCCTCTTGCTGCAAAGTTCCTTGGAGGTCTTTTGCGATTTAGGAAAACTAGAAAACAATGGCAGAATGTGTTAGATAACCAAATATGGGAGCTAAAAGAGGCTAAAGAAGAGGTTTTTCGTCATTTTCAGTTGAGTTATTATGATTTACCTTCTGAAGTAAGGCAGTGTTTCTTATATTGTGCCATCTTTCCAAAAGATTACATTATATCGAAAAAGAAGTTGATTAGATTATGGATGGCGCAAGGCTATCTAGAAGACAATATGGAAAAAGGTGAGTTGTACTTTAATAATTTGGCTATGCGCTCCTTTTTCCAAGACTTCAGAAAACATAAAACCAATTTAGCATGCAAGATGCATGATGTAGTGCATGATTTTGCTAAACATTTGACAAAAAATGAATTTTTTTTAGTAAACTCTGCTAATAATGAAGCGTGTGATAATGAATTATATGAAAAAGTGCGTCATTCAATGATACTTTCTCGGTCAGATTTACCATTTCCTGTCTCTGTTTACAAGTTAAAGAAGGTACGAAGCCTCTTGCTTACGGAGCTTATGCGGAGAAACTCTGAGACCGAAAAACATCTAGTTGATTTATGTGGTCAATTGACATGCCTTAGGTCATTGGATTTGAGTGTGCATATTAACTGTAGTAATTCACTGAGTAAACTTCCGAAAGGGATAGAACAACTGATACATTTGAGACTTCTTGACTTGTCTTCGAATACAGCCCTAAGAGTATTACCTGAATCTTTGTGTCATTTATATAATCTTCAAATCCTGAATATTTGTTGTTGTCTTTTTCTTAGAGGACTTCCTCATGGGATGGAAAAACTAATCAACTTGAGGCATTTATATAACTTGGGAACTTATAAGCTAACCTTTATTCCCAAAGGGTTGGGGAGATTAACTTCTCTTAGCACATTTGAATGCTTGGTGGTGGGAAGTAATAATAATGATGGTGAAGCTATGACTCTAGGGGATCTGCAACAACTAAACAACCTTAAGGGAACTCTCCACATTAGAGGACTAGGAAATGTGAAAGATGTCCTGGAGGCTACAAATGCTCAGCTTCTAAATAAGAAACATCTTCGTGACTTGCAGCTTAGATTTGATGGACTGATAACAGACGCAGAGAGAATTGATGATCTTCTTCTTGAAGCCCTGCAACCACCTTCGGACTTAGAAATTTTAGAAATTACTGATTATATAGGCCCTACTATGTGTCCAAATTGGTTAATGCAACTGCCAAGGCTAAGGAAGCTTACACTTGGGTCGTTCATAAATATTGAGCAGTTGCCTCCACTTGGGATCCTGCCGGGTCTCCAGGTGCTCAAGATTAGAAACATGCCTAAAGTGAAAAAACTGGGCCTTGAGTTTCTAGGAATAGGCACTCTTCCATTTTCATCTTCTGTTGCTGCCTTCCCTCAACTCCAAAAGCTTCATTTTAGTAACATGAAAAACTGGGAAGAGTGGGATTTTGAAATCACAACAGGAACTGTTCATCATAGTAATAGTAGTACCAGTAGCTGCATATTTATGGTAATGCCACGCCTCAGTTATTTGCTCATTCAGAACTGTGACAAGTTGAAGGAATTAAAACAGCCTTACGAGGATTTAAGAAAAGACGGTCTTATACGCTGGCATTTTAAAGTTTGGTGAACTGATGTAAGAAAAGTCGGAGGTTTGTTCTCTAACCATAATACTTCTTTTTTATACTGGCATTCATTTTTTAGTTGGTAAGATCCCTTAGCAAAACTTTTAAAAGGCTACAGCCACAACTTTGTTGGGTTTCCATGTAAAATGCTATTTTTCATCTCAGATTTCACATAAATAATTCGTCCATCTCTTTTTTTTTTTCTTGAGTTTAGTTTTATGTGTTTGTATCTCTCTCTTTTCATGCTCTTTTCTTCTTGATTAGACTTCAATGACGGATGCTCGAGTGGAAACTTCCCCAAGCGTGTTTCTCCTTCCCTCCACAGGCGTGCTGCTGCTGACACATGACAGACGTGCCCCTCCCTCCCTTTACAGGCGTGCTCTTAGAAACGTAGCGTGCCTCTTCTTCCCAGAAATTTAATTCTACTGTCTTTCTTCTCAGAAAGCTTAATCCTTGCTATAAGGTGGAGATTAGTGTTATTGTGATTATTAGAGCACCTAATTCCGTGATTGATATGATTTAACTGTGTTTTTATTTTATCGATTGTAATTTATTTAGACCCTCCACAATTAATTGTTCATAATAAAAGACTTCAGTTTCTGTTTAAATGAAATTTATGCAAGTACTTAAAAAAATATATTAAACAGAAATGTTAGAGACCGAATATTTTATAGGGATTTATTATAAAAACTTAAGGTATGGTGTAATGACAAAATAATATATATGGATGTGGTATAAAGACTAAACAGAGCTGCTGATGGAGAGATCACAATAACCAAAAGCATCCCGAAAAATGGAGTCTTTCGTTTAACCCTCGTCTATTCATAGGTCCTTCTCTGTCCTTCAACCTGCAGGATGCTCCTGTTTTCACTTCTGATTCTGCAATCCAATCCTCTCTCACTGTTATTCCTCCTCATGTTTCACCTACTCTCTTAATTTCTTCCTTAATTTTCTTTGTTTAGCAGATTTGTATAAACTCACAGTCATTACCACCATATGTTGTTCATCAATCTTCCGACTATCTTCTTTTATATATAATTTTAGATGTGGGTATTGTTTATAGCAATTGGGTTTTTCATTATATGGTAGACTGGTTGTGTATATGTAAATATCTGTGCACCATACGTTTGTGCCAATCAAATTTTTGTCTGTGATGTGTGTATGACATGAAGGAGTTGATGGGTATCATGAAACCTATGTATGTTAGCTTGGAGTGATGTGAAAGGAAAATATTTTAGTAGGGTAAACTAAGATCTTTATGGACCCGGCTTCCTCATCTATCATGGATCTTAGTTGGACAAAGAGAAGGTAGGGAATCTTGTGTGGTAATTTCACAGCGGTGAGGAGGAGAAGAAGAATTACTTGTGGCATGCTTGCTTGTATTTGATCTCGTGTTAAAACAAGTATAGTGTCAGGCTACAGTTATTAACTATAAAATAACTGGGTGAAACTAAGATGTTTGGATCAACCTATTATTTGGTTAGTAAGGAGCTTTATAAGCTCTCTAAAAAAACTTTTAACTCGCCGATGTATTTGGGTGTAAGTATGAAAGAATTATGATTAGATAATTAGATAAGCTCTTGCAACAATAATTTTAGCAAGTAGGTAAGGAGCAGCTTAGCTTTTACTTTATAGGCACTAGAAAATGCTGTTGTGGACTCAGTAAGGGATGATTATCATATAAACTATTCTGGATTGGCATAAACAATCTGAAATCTCGGATGATCAAGAAGGGTACACTAGAATTATAGAGTAGAGAGCTGTGTAAATGTGTGCGCATGTATATACATATATATATATATTAAGAAAAGAGATATTATGCATTGATGTGGTTAGACACCACTGAGTTTCTTTTCGGTGTCAAAGAAAAAGCTTTTACAGTTGATTGTCTTCTTCAATTCAAGCATTTTTCTAACTGTTTTTATGTTTTTTCATGTTCACATAAAATCTAAGCTGATTTAGATTGAGCCTCACAAGGATTTTCTTCTATAGTTGATGTGTTTGTGACATTAATTCAACATTTGCTATCGTGTGATGTGGATTTGAAGGACTGATCCATCCAGTCCTCCAAATCAAGGCAAGTTGTTTGTCAAAATCATTGTTCTTACTGTTTCTTTTCACTTAGATGGCTTAGTTTACATGAATTGAGAGCAGTATCTGGACTATAGGACAAGCATGGCCACATGCAGTACCCATCATCTCTATCTGGACAAGTCACTGCTATTATAAGTTCGTTTGCTTGCCTTTTGGACTGGTCATGGAGCAAACCAGCTAGTACAGCTCTTAAGGTCATTTTAATGGTATCCTATGAACTGAAGTTGGAGATTGTCCTACAGTTCCATAAAAAGAAACTTATTGACTATAAATAATCAAAAGAAAATTTCCCATTTGTGGTATGTTCACTGTCGAACCAAGTTAAGAACTTCCCTTCATGGAAATTGGAAACTAGGAAACTTACCTCAGGAACAGTTTATATAATCTTTGCATCTTATGAACCAATGATTATCCTTATTACATTAGTGAGGCTGTTTCTGCATTTCTCCTTTTGATTACCAACTTGGAAGCTGCCTTCAAATCAATATATAAAGCAACTTGGATGAGATTGCTGCATTTCTACATATTTTACTTCTTGTCACATTGTTTATCTGCTTTTTGGCTGTTGCCTTTACACTAAACAGCTGTACATATAGTAAACATGCCGCCACCAGTAATTTATGAAAATGCTTGAGGTAAAGGCAATAGTAGATAGGAGAAGAACACAGAATCCTTTTGGCAAGAGTATTGAAGCTATCCCATAAACATTCTATATCCAAATGTGATGAATTATTTTTCTTCTTTGAATATCTTGGTTAGAGCTGTTTTCTGTAAGATATTACATCCTTTGTTCTTGGTAGATAAGGGAAGAACACAGAATTTCATGCACAAAATTGCTTCAAGAACTACAATAGTGTCTTGGATACATTGTGAGGATGCTCAATTGACTGCCAAGAACAGCTTATCTAGTGTATGATAATGTCCACATCATTTTGAGTAATTGATGTTTTCATGTATTCTCATATTCACTGCAAATGCGTGAGAAGAATAACTAAGCCTCTTTGGCAAGATGCTCGGTTTGCAAGTTTGTGGACCTTGAATCAAGCTTTCATTAAATCCCAATGAATCAACATACAGAGCCTCCTGACCTGTTACAAGCTCCAAGAGAAATACTCCAAAGCTGTAAATGTCACTTGCATCAGTGAAGGTCCCTGATACTCCTACCCTGAACATTACGCACAGGATTATGAAAATGAGTATAGGTGAAAGCTATTAATCCTTCCATAAACAAGCAAAATGCAATCAGATGGAATTTGTCCATTGGAGATAATTTCTCTAAATTCAAGTTTCATTTTTCATTTTACTGTGTGAAGATTGAGTTTTCCATGGAATAAGGAGTTGATTTTTTTTTGTCATTTCAACTCCAGACTTTATGTTTATTGTTTTCTTCTGATATTGACAATTTTTTATAACAACTGTCAAATAGAAATAGAGCTTTATGTTTTTGTTTAATTCTATATCTTTCTGCTTAAATTATGATATGTATTAGAGTTAGTAGGATTAGTTGAAGTCTGTAAACTTTTCCTTCCATTTTGTATATATATATGTATGAAATTAATAGAAAATGAATGTTACAAAACACTTTCCTTGCAGCAGAAGACTTCTATTTTTTCTGCAATTTTTTCTTTTCATTTTCTTCTATATTCTTCCATTTTCCAAAAATTTAATGAACTAATATCTTAACAGTGGTATCAGAGCTGCTGTTCTCGTGGGCTATGAGGAGTTAAGCAAGCTTGTTCTTTGATTTTACATTATAAAGTTGATAGAAAATGGCCATGAATGTAAATTTACCTGCGTCACCAGTGTTCACAAGTGAGAAAATCATAATTATTGGGCTGTAAGGCTGATATCAGAAGATATTTTTTCAAGACTGGTTGATTTTAGAACTACAAAGAAAGCTTGGGATTATTTAAGGGAAGAGTATGCTAGAAGTGCAAATGTAAAAAGTGTAAAATTATTAACATAAAAGAGGGAGTCTGAGCTAATGAAGATGCAAGAAGATGAAAGTGTTAAAGACTACTCTACCAAGGTTATGAATCTGGTGAATCAAATCAGATTGTTTTAAGGGGACTTCAAGTATCAAAGAGTAGTAAAAAAGATGATGATCAGTCTTCCAGAGAAGTTTGGATCAAAACTTTTAGTGATTGAAGAAACTTGCGATCTGGAAAAGTTGATAGTAGCCGAGCTGATAAACAAGTTGCAAGCTCAAGAACAAAGAACTTTTATTAGAAGCGATTGGTGTTGTAGAAAATGCATTCCAAGTTAGACAAAAAGGAAAGCAAGTTGCTACAACCTCAAAAGAAACTGGTTAGTCTTTTGAGTTTAAAAATAAATAGCAGCAAGGCTCAAAAGAATCAAATAAAAATGAAAAACTTTTTGTTTGCAGCCTTTGTAGCAGGAGTGGACATCTAGAGAGCAAATAGTAGAAGAATTTGTAATCTAGAGTTTGTAAAAAGATAGGACACATTACAAAAATTTGTTGTAAAAGAAATAAAAAATTACAGAATTTATATCAGTAACAAAAACAGTCTACTAAGCAACAACAAGCTAACTTTGTAGAGAATCAAATACAGCAGGAGAACCATTTGTTTATGGTTACTCAAAATCTTTATGTACCTGATGTTGATATGTGGTACATTGATAATGGTTGTACAAGCCACATGGTTAGAGATCGGAGAATATTTTCTAGTCTAGATTTCAACTATTGAACCAAAGTGAAACTTGAAAATGGAATGATTTGGAAGCTCAAGACAAAAGTTTAGTGTCAATTCATACTAAACAAGATACAAAATTTATTACTAATGTCTTATTTATTCTTAATTTAGAGTAAAATTTATTGAGTGTGGCTCAGATGCAAAACAAAAGATACTCAATTTTATTCAGAAATAATTGTTATCATGTATATGATGCTGCGATTGTTGAAGTCGTGAGAGTTAAGAGCATTGATAGTAGTTATATTTTATGTTTGAAGCATGTGAATCAAATTGTCTTATCTATTAAAAATGATGAGACATGGTTGTGGTATAAATGTTTTGGTCACTATCACATTGATACATTAAAGTTGATGCAAAAGAATGATATGATGAGTGATATACCTGTTATTTCTAGTGGAGAAGAAGTATGTGCAAATTGTCAGTATGGTAAAATGCAGAGAGGACCAGTTTTCCTACTGGTGGAGTTATTCGTGCAACAAGAAAACTTGAACTAATCCACTATGATATTTGTGGACTTATGAGTGTTACTTCCTTAAGCTGCAATAAATATTTTATTTGTTTATAGATGATTTTACAAGGATGATCTGGATTTACTTTCTCTCAAACAAGGGTCAGGTGCTTTATGTGTTTAAAAAATTTAAATTATATATAGAAAAACAAAGTGGATGTAAGTTAGCAAACTTAAGGTCTGATAATGGCAGTAAATATACTTCACTTAAGTTCAGAAAATTTTGTGATGACTATGGTATATTGCAGCAACTTATTGTTGCTTATTCACCTAAGCATAA